CGTTCCGGCTTCTAGGTCCCCTTCCCCACTGCCCCAAGTTGGTCGCCACCTCAAGCCCCGCGGGTAGGAGTTGCGGAGCTCGCCTGGCAGGCGGGGCTGTGGGAGGGTACCACCCCGGGCCTGCCCTAGGGCGAACCCAGGAGTCGGGAGTTTGGTTCCCGGCTTACCCGATCCCTTTAACGATGCTATTCGAGTTTCTAGTACGGAATCTATTCGAAGCAGGCTCCCAACTTATTTGCACAGCCAGAAACTAGACGGGCTCCGAAATAGAGCCCACTTGGTCCCCTCCAAGTTCCTTCCCTCAGTTTCCACCACGGCCAGGGTCAGGACCCAGCCAGGGCAGTGTCACCATCGGAGGGCTGGGGACCGAGCCAGAAGTCCCATCGGGTGAGCAGGGCTAGGGCCAGTGGAGTGAGCTCAGGGTCCAGTGAGAATTCCCCCTTCACTCACCCAGCAGGACTTCTGGATGTGTCGTGGTATGCACCCTTGGGGATTTTTTAGCTGCTGGCTGCCTTTGACTTCTCTTGGCACTGGCCCTGCGCGCTTAGGCCTAGGCACGAACGGCCTTCCGCAGCAGGATACTCGTGGTTTCCCTTCCCCACCGTCGGGGATCCTGATGGAAGACCCAGCAGACCAGAGCAACCCGCTGGTGCAGCAGCCAGGGCCCAGAGCACAGGGGCTCACGGCTGTCCCGGGTCCTCTTTGCCCCCCACCCCGTCCTTTCCCACCCTCGAAGCCTGGGTCCGCCTGGGAGTGAGGTCAGCGTTTGGGAAGATCCCACCAACGGGTGAAGCCCAGGCTGATTCCCTGAGGTCAGAGGAGGGAGCGTTATGCGGGGCGGCGGAGAAAAGGAAGAGCTAGGAGGGGAGGACCTGGGGGGACTCACGGCGGGTGAAAGGGCAGGGGTGTGAAAGCAGATGTGCGCAGTAGGTGCTCAGCAAACCTCCGGGAGCAGGGGGCTGGGCTTCTGGAACCACCGACAGCCCCTCTTCGTCCTCTCTGCCCCATGTCCTCTCCAGCTCCCTTCTCTCTGGCGAACCCAGCCAGGGCCCCAGCTCACAGCCCCGCTCCCTCCCCACCCCGCCCGGGTTCCAGCAGCAACAGTTGCAGGGCCGGCAGCCCAGACTCCATCGTCCCGCACCGCCCCCTCCCCTGCGGTGCCGCGGCGCCGGGAGAAGGAGCTGGAGGGCTCGGCGACCCGGGAGACGAATGTCTTGGGCGCCTCGCCCGCGTCCTTCCCTCGCGTCCGCCGCGCGCCTGTCACCTGGGCCTCTCTTCCTCACCTCCTCTCCGCCCGTCCCGGTCCAAACCCCAGGCCGGGACCCCGAGAGTCTCGGTCCCCCGACCGCCCCCCTCCTCGGGCTCCCTGCGCCAGCCAGACTCTCCCCAGTGTCCCGCCTCTGTCTCCGTCGTCCTTGCCCGCGCGTCGCCTGAGCCCAGCCCCAAGTTGG